CTTCCTATTGGCAGGCATGAAGTAAGAGATGGCTCTTTGATCCTCAAAGATTTTACGACAACAGATTCGGGTGTGTACATTTGTAGTGCAACAAGTCCTGGTATTTCCCACAAAGAATCAAGATCTACTATCAAGGTTCCTTTTAAAGATTGTTCGGAAATCTTCCAATCAGGAGAGAGACGTAACGGCGAATACACAGTGAATCCTGACAACCAAGGTAGCTTCCAAGTGTACTGTGACATGACAACTGACGGTGGGGGGTGGACTGTGTTTCAACGTCGTAAAGACGGATCGGTCGATTTTTATCTCAATTGGCAGCAATACAAAACAGGTTTTGGCAACCTGAATGGCGAGTTTTGGTTGGGTAACGATTACATCCATCGACTGACAGCAAGGACACCATCAAGTCTTCGCGTGGAAATCGGGGACTGGGACGGATCTTGGAAGTATGCCAAATATGGTAGCTTTAGTGTTGGTGCTGAATCAGACAAGTACAGGTTGAGTTTTGTCGGGTATTCGGGATCAGCTGGAGACTCAATGACATTTAACAACAGGGCTTTTACAACCAAAGATAGAGATAACGATGGTGATCCAGGCGGTAATTGTGCAGTTCAGCGTACCGGTGCGTGGTGGTATGGAAACTGTGCAACGTCTAATCTTAATGGAAAGTATTTAGGAAACGTAGTTAAGAAGGGTGGTTTATATTGGTACCATTACAAACGTAACTGGCAGTCTTTTAAAACAAGTGAAATGAAGCTTCGACCTCAAAACCATAAATAAGTAGATCATTGTCATGGAATGATAGACTCTGAACCTTTTGCGTCACTGCTTGATTTGCAATGCATTGTGGGATAAGTTTCTAGAGACAACAGAAAAAATCCACTATGTTACGTTCTAACCCAATCCTGCAATGTATTCTTTATATGGTATACGTACGTAACGTAAAGGCTTCAGAGATCTATTATAATAATATAAAATAATAATAATTTTGTTTTTATACAGCGCTTATACAAATCTGCTCTAAGCGCTTTCAAATTACAAACAATTGCAATGACAGAGTCAAGGTAGACTGCGAGCTTAAGATGGCGCCTCATGGCTGCCGCTCTTAGTCCGTCCCAAGATATTAAACTTAAAAATTACAACAATAAAAATTAAAATATAAATGACACTACAAAAAATACATACAAGGAATAAAGAAGCATGCATGATGGCCGGTGGCTCAGATGAGCTCATTCGCCCTTTGATATATCTATTGATATATAGCGTGTGATCTGATGATGTCCGTATGTCAGAGCTCAAAAATAAAACGTTTTTTAATAAGAAATAGAGAAATATAGAAAAGATGTTTATCCACATCATCAAATGCAACGTATGTCTTTTCTTTATGCAATAGATTGATTTGTATTAATATTATCATTTTGAAGGTGATTTTCTGACTGATATTATAGTGTAGAACACAGGAAACCCGCGACATTAAAACCAACTGCATGAGGGTGTAAAATGTGATTAAACAAAAAATAGTTAAGCAAAGTTAAACCAACACTAGTAGCCACTTATCGCTAGGTTATGCGTAACGCGGCTTACGCGCCTGCTGTGCTGTCACACAACGATTTRCRCATCACGTGTGATACGCTAACTTCACGCAAAGTTTTCTTAGTACGCCATCTGAAAATTTGGGTTGTGCGCTGTGCTCTTCTCACCTCCCACCTAAGCACCAACGACAAGCTCATCTAATGGTGATGAGTTTCAATGTGTAGTAAACAGGTTGGGCAATTGGGAAAGAAAGCAAGTTACTTTTCATTTTTTTCATGTAACTTGATGAAACGAGAAAAATAATTTCTAATAATTTAATATATATATTATTGAAAGTGATTAAAGTTTTTTAAAGTTTTAAATTTTCTCAAGATTTTTTGATGTGTAAGTGTGTAGTTGCGTTTATTCTTCTTGTTCTTTTTTTTTTGTTAATCTTAATTTAATTCTATTCTTCTTTCATTCATTTTTTCCTTCATTTTTCTATAAAAGAGGAGAGTCCGAGTAAAAGAGAGCGAAAACTGAGAAGAACATTTGTGTTTGAGAAACAAAAACTGGGAGGCGAGTTTTGATGTTATATATAAATGAGCGGGAGACCTTTATGGACATTAACAACGAACTGCAAGCTGCAAGTAAGCAGTTTTATAGCCAATAAAGGTCAAGTCATGTCGCTGATAAAAATATATTCCACGGCAAAATGCTATACACTTAACGTAACCTATACAACGTGTATTCAACGAGGTACTTTTCGTCATTATATGATATAGCCGCTACATCATATAATGACGAAAACTACCTCGTTGAATACACTTTGTCCAGGTTACGTTAAGTATAAATTACAAAACCTATCTTAATATAAACTCAAATCCCTCGTTATTCAAAATTCTTATATATCTTTCAATTTGATGGGGAAACAAGTAAAAAATGGGCCATAAATAATACAATTAAT